CCTAGCTTTTCAATGAGCAATTTTCCCGCTAAAAACTTGAGTCCCCGTACATCCGAACCACCCATACCTGGAGGCTGAATTTAAAATCTTTAAATTGCATTTGAGGAGGGAATACTCCCCGAAAATTTTTGATTTCGGGCTTTTCTGATTACCAAGTTAATAATGTTCCCGCGAAGCCTTTCACGAGGCCGTAAGTGAGAACCACGAACACCTAGGGGCTCAGTTTGAAATCTTTATCTCACACATACACAGAGAATATCTCTGCAACGTTTCAACTCTCTATCCTTTCTAGTTCCTGAGATTGCTTTCTCGCCAAAAAAATTTGCATTTTTAAGGCGCCCGTAACTGGAACCCAGACGTACGCAGGTGATGATATTAAAACGATAGGGTCGCACGTGGTCTGGACACATACTCCCAAAGTTTCAGCCTTCTAGCTTTTCTGATTCTTGAGCTAAAAGTGGGTGGCAAAAAATGCGAACGCATACACACACGCGCAGGCTCTTGCCAATATGCGTTTTTGCATTTGCATATATGCAAAACGCATAATAAAAACACCCGTAGTACTTTGTTGGCGGCTACCGGCAAGGCTCTCGATGGTCTCCTCTTCTGCTGACTTACTAAGAGAAAATAGAAAGAGGTTCAAACTCTGCTGTATGTACCGATATAAATTTACCATCGAAATGAATTATCGAACTTTGAAGCCAAAAAAGACGATAGAAAAAGATTTAACGTATAAAAATACTGGTGGAGGAAAACTTGTTGTGTTGAGGTATTCAGGTTGGATTGTATTCAGAACAGAATGTTTGAATTTCAAAAGTCGAGAAAGACAAAATTTCTCCCCAGTAGCTCTTACTGAGAGCTGGAGACGTTTGGGGGATAGCTCCAATGGCAAGAAGTGCCCAACTGCAATTACCCACTAGGAAGGTAGCCTCATTTCTCGGGGTTGCTTACAAACAAGCTAATGGCAGGTTTGATTTAGGGTTTGGTACTTGTGTGCCCAGAAGAAACCGTTGGTCGGGTGAGACTGCATAAGGCCAGAGCAGTGAGTGCTGATGAACGGTATTGCAAATTAAAGTTTAGAAAATCCATAAGTTCTGTAGCAGTGAATTCCTGAAACCGGCTCTTACTTTCGCTATTAGATGCTTAGGGGGAGCAACATCCCACAATACGATCCAGAAACAGTTAAGGTGTCATGCATTCAGTTATTTTTAGTTTTGAGCAGCGCTAACGAAGACTGTTTGTTGAGTAGTGGAGCCTGTTGTACGAGGAAAATCCGGTTACGCCTGTTTGCCTGTTTTCAAAAGCCTGCTGGTTTCTTCTTTCACGCGCGCTGGTAAGCACATAAAGGGAGCAGAAGTAGTGGGAGCTGCTCCTCCAACTGGCTTTTTTTTCTTCCGAGCGCTTCAACAGTCAATCCTGTCAAGTTCAGGTATCATGGCGTTCCACTCAGTTGTCTGTTTAGTGTGTTCGAGACTGACTTCCGTGTTGAAATACCTGGACAAACAGGCAAGTGAACCGTTCCATTGCTCATGCCACTCAATCATACCGATGTATCCTTGACAAAACTTCCTTTTTTATTTCTCAGTATTTTCATCAGTAATTTAGTAGCTGAATTTGACAAGCGAGAATTCAATTTGCCTCTCTCGAGGACAGCTTAGTATCAGCCTGTTAAATTTGTTGCTTTTTTTTAGTTTGGCTCATTTCCATTTTATAAATTCCAGTCCTTCTGGCTACCAAAAAAGCACATGTTTTTTAGTTAGAAACGTAAGCCTAAAATTAGTTCGTGCGGCGTGTGTAGGGCACAAATTAACCCAGGCTGGAACGCACCAGGCTCTCCGGTGCGATCATGCATTTTTGCACTAAATTCGCAGAATGCTATTAGCAAGAATGTTCCCTACGCTGTGGCCTAACACTTGGATCATTTGGCAGTGCTTTGATCCTTTCCGGCATGCAAGAGAAAGGGCGTCAATTAGGACGAAGGTGGTGCATTATAGAGCCCCACGGACACCCAGGTGCATGATAAAAAATGAACAAGCACTTTGATTATGTGTTATTTTAGATATTGCACCTACCATCCATATAATTCTATTCTTCCCATAGGTGCTGGACAAGTTCCAAGATATTTGGGAAAGTCAGACTCTAAAATTCATCCAGCTTTTTAAGTTCCTCACCTAAATCTTGCAGCTTTAGTTCAAATGGTCAACAAGTGGACAGTCCGTTTTCCTCTAGTATCTCCAAACTTATTCCTTCTAGTTCTGGTTAAAAATTTGCAGTTCAGGACAAAAAAGTGCTTCGACGTAACTAAGAAATAATAGAGTAAGAGATAAGGAATCAGCTTTTTTTCTTATCATACGCAAGAAGGTATGTTTGGATGCAATCTGGCGCGTGACTTCAAAAAAACCTTTCTTGCAGCGGTTTTTTTGGCACGTTGGGGTTTGCGATGCTCCATAACTCATCGAATTAGCTCGTTTGCAAACTGTATCTCTATGGCAGTGTACCTGGGACTTCCTGCATGGAGCAGTGGTGATTAGTCACGAATGGGAGGTCTCTTGAAGGTATTGCTGGATGCATTAGCCAAGCATGCTGGAGCAGTGCTCCGCGTCACAGTGCACTGAAACCAGTCTCCGTTTTCCTGTTCTGCTCGGTGTGCTTTTGCGCTTGTTGCGTAAAGGCATGGATGGTGTACAGCTTTTTTTTTTTTCAAGAACTGATAAAAATAATTATGTAAGAACAGGTCCCCCTGCTCACCGAGAGCATCTCCGCACAGCTTGGTTCCGTTCCCGTTTCCCCTTTGATCACCTGCCTGCTTCCACGACGCACTCCGCCCAGTTACCTTGAACTTCTTTCACACGACCGCTCCTCGGTCAGTTCAGGACGCCTACCCCGGATGTACGAAACAGAACAGCGTACCGGGTCCTCAACCTTCGCGACGCATCCCTACTCCACGCGAAATTTCCGACATATTCTCCTCCAAGTACCAGCGACAGATTCAGTAGAAATTTTGCGGGAAATTTCAGCGAAAATTATTTCCTCATTATTTATTGCTTTCGAAACACTGACGCAAAAACGAATCATTGCGGGTTCACAAATATCGATTATAAGGATGTACTATGAAACGATACTAGAGGACCTACATACACTGAAAAGTAATGAGTACTAATTGCAGCCTAGAATCGGAGGGCCCAGTATAGCTGCCTGCGCTCGATGTGTAGGAACATCCCATGTAACATCATTAAAATTGGATGCTCATACTGATGCCTAAGCGGTTTTGGTATTTTTGATGATTGTAGAATAAATATATGTTTGTAAATACAATAGAGTGTATCCTTTATTTATTTATTAATTTTTTTGCTTATTTGGAAAATGTTTCACTTTGTAAAAAATTGTGAAAAATGCTTCCGTACTATAAAACAATTCTCATCATGCAAAAAAAGCCTTGCCTATGTAGAAGTTTCTCCTGAATTATCTACACAGTATTTTTCTGCAATGAACAATGAGACACTTTATTACAGTTGCAGTAGGAGAGCACTATAGGTAATTTTTTACAGATTAAGGGAATTTTCAAAAAATAAAGAAAAAATTAGAAAAAACAAGTTAGCTGTAAAATTCTAGCTTATTTTAATATAATTCTGAAACTAACGATTGAAAATAATATGTATGATTCGTCCACAGTGCTTTGCACAATGGCTTCTATACCATTTGGTGCACATGCTTTTACTTTACTGAGCATACAATGGAACGTGTTCACCACCCTCGCTCTTCCCTCCTCTCCTCCATATTCCACTTTACAAAAAAGCTTCTGGAAATGAATTCTAATACAGCCATTATTTTTGTAAGAGCAAAATTTTCGATTTTTTTATAAGAGCAAAAAGTTTTTTTCGAAGCTTTTGAATTAATATAACCAGAATGAAGGAATAGCAGGACTGAAATTTGGGAACTTAAGACTATTGAAAATGCAAACTGAAATTATTACGGCCTGAAATTGAAATAAACACGATTGGAACTAGTTTTTCCACTCGTTGGCTAAGCGTTACATGTCAGCATTCTGCAACTCAAGGGGAAGCATTTTTTTAGACCCCTTATCGATTCTCCTTCCAGAGCCACGTACGACTGATGCTAAACAGCACATTATTTATTTTACTGTGTTTTTTTGCATCTATGCAGTGCAGAAAACGCATATCGACGAGAGGTTCTCTGTGTGTGTGTGTGTTTTTGTCTGTGTGTTCGTTTGTACCGATTATTCATCTCGAGAGCTACAAAAGCTACAGGGCTGAAACTTTGGGAACTTAATTAATCTACATGCTTGTACGGACTCCCGTCGCCAAAATGGGTACTCTTACCCGCGTGGTACCCATGCACGGGCCCGCCAAAGTTTTTTACGGGCAAGCTGCTAACTCGAAAACCAGAGAAGCTGGAAGGCTGAAATGTTGAGGGGAAGTTCCCTGTCCAAGTAGGTGTTAATGAGCTCATATCCAGCTCCGGATTTGCGTGGTTCTTATGTATGGGACCGTGAGTTTTTGCGGGTAAGTCGCTAACTCGGGAACCAGAAAAGCTAGAAAGCTGAAATTTTAAAGGGATGTTTCCTGACAGTCCTTGTGGCCAATCTCGATTCTTCTAGTTAGAAGCATCTGCCGGAAAAGCCTGCGTCGTTAGCGACAAAGATCGGTGGGGATCTATGCAATCTTTGCACCGGTAGTAGGTGCGCTGGCCATTTATTATTGCTAAGATCTGCAGTGCTATTACTGCGAAGTTCGTTTTTTTCTGAAATCCCGTAGGTCTTTTCAGTGGCATTACAACCCAGGTCCTCTTCGTTCTTCCCCCTTCACAGCTCGCTACCGAGATGCGTAGAAGCCATGCAGATGTAAAGTGCACTACGCATTTGTCTCTTCAAACAAGTATTTTTTCGGAAAAACAAAACGCCATTTATTATTTAAATGTTTGTTTTCGAAAGCAGCATTGCACCGACAGGAGCATGCTATCTAGCAATTTTCATTGTCTTTTCACAGCAACCAGAAGCAGGCCATAGTGGTCACTCCATGACGTAACCAGAAACAGCAGTCTCCGCTTCCCGTTCCCCGACTTTGCCTCTGCTGCTGCTGACCAATAGAACACGGAACAAGCATCGCTTTATAAAACCGGTGCTTCAGGGCAACCAACTTTCGTTGTAGCAGCGGCGCTTCTCTCTCCGAGCTATAACCAAAATCAATGGATTTCCCGCATCCAGCAGTAGCCCTTGTCATGGCACAAGCAATTCCGCTCTGTTCCGAACACATCCAAGCTCTGCATTTCGAGCAAATGTGATTTTTTGATTTTGCCGATCACTTTCATCAACGTTTTTTGCCCTTTTCTGCTTACTTTGCTGCCAAGCTTCGGTCGAATTTTATGCTAAAAACGCGACTCATCAACTGCTCTTTCTGTTTTTACTCGCTCCTTTCTCTTTTTTTTCCTCTTCTCATCAATTTCATTTTTTATTTTTGCATTGGGACTTTTTGTCCCCAGCTGGTTACCAAAACGTACATCTGTGCTACCCTTGATAATTAGGCGTTATTCAGCTGCTACTAGCAGAAAAACATACATCTGGGCTACCTCCTAGCTGCCCCAACAGCACATATAAACTCAAGAACGAGTTGCTAATCAAGATTCAGTCAGCTTGTAAAGAATGCCCGAAAAAAGTCAATTTGCCCGATGCCAGCAGTAAATCACCAGCTCACTAGCTTATTTCAGCAATAATAAACAGAGGAAGTCGTGATGTCATCTTGAAAATGCCTTCCAACAAACGGGATGTCGATATGAGCAACAAGAACAAAATGCAGTCAAATGAGCTGCAGAGGGAGAGCAGTTGTCGAAAGAGTTCTTTTTGCAAATGATTATGGATTGGGACTGGAAGCTTAAATACTCTGCAAAATAGTGTCTAATTTTTACAATTGTTCCATAATTCGTTTAAAATTATTTTACTAAGATTACCAAGATTCTTCGGGCCCGTTTCGGGTATCCCGTGTTAGTAATATAAGGGGAATCGTTGGACGCATCTTTGCAGAGGTACGTCTTTACCCCGTTTTGCTCCAATCTTTTAACGCTACCAATTTGATTGTTTTCATTAGCATTTCAGTAGCATTCCAAATTTTCCAGTACTTTGCAAAGCTCTTCAGCCCTAAGCTGTATGCCTTCAATTAACACCCATCGTTGATTCCTCATGTGTGAGCCGTTCGGAAAAAGCCAACGATGTTGACTTCTTCGCAAGTGCCATCCATTAGTGTGCGACGTCCATCGGTTTTCAGCAAAGCATGCATTTTAAACATTTGACCTTTTAAGTGATATTAAAAAAAATCTGCATTTCTTGTTTTTATTACGAAATGTTAGCAAAAAAATTTAACGAAATTAATTCATTCAAACATTTCTGAATGTAACACCAACGTCCCGTATAGCTTTATTCCGCTTTTTTTGACTGCTACTGCAGCTAACATCCGTAACCAATTAATTCAATGTAAGCGTATCTGCGCCGCGCTGGGGCAGGTCGGGAACAGCAGCTTTGTTCTTTACGTACTTTTCAGAATTACCAACTTGTACCAGGCAGCAACAAATCAGGATCGAACTGACTACAGATGTGTGATGTCGGATGAGATTGAAGTACTAGCCAATACGGGGATACAGCAACCCCGAAAGCATCCTCGGCTAAGACGAATATCCAAAGAAACGCCTATTTCGGGTAACAAAATACAGCAGTTTGAAAGGTAAGCTCAGCAGTCTTCGCTAGGGAAAAAGGAAAGTGCCGAAATCTAAACATTTAAAAATTTTTTATCTTTGTATCTGATGTGTAAAAAACTCGCAAGTTACGACTGCTTCCAAGCTTTATCCTGGTCAATTTTTTTTCTCTGATTCGGGAACTGGGTTGTTTCATCGCATCAGTTTTCCTTAAGACCAATGAATCCATTTTTCCAAGCTATGCTCTGAGGACTTGGTCCCATCAATTTTGCGAGTTCTTTTCGATTCCCATGAGCTGATATTTGCTCTTGTACCCGACGCAGTTACCCCTTCACACCTTCAATATAAAATATTCGGAAAGGATTGCTTTCAAGGACACCCGTTGGCGTTAAGCGGCTTATAAGACACAGCCCAAATATGCTTTGAATGACCGCTCTAAAGCATGATTAGTCTGGTTTACTATAACAGTGTCTGATCTGGGAGTAGGAAATGCAGATATGTTTTTGTCCTTTGCATTTTTACTACTTCAGCGCTAATCCGAGATCTTTCAGAAGCTCGTTCAGTGCTAAGCCGGAATCTCTTAAAGGCTTAGCATCCGAAAATAGCGTTTTTTGCATCTATGCAATGCAAAAACTTTTGGGTAAAGGGGGGGGGGGGGGGGGGGGGGGGGGGGGG